CTGGGAAAAACAACCGAATTTACTTTACTTCTCTCCAAACCCAACTTCTACTGTCTTCCACTTCCATGTAATTCTGAGACATTGTTTAAAAACAGCAGATAAAAGCCTTTCTTTCAAGAATTAGGAGATAAGGCTTAAAATTCAAATATTCCTTGAAAAGTCAGATCTAACAAAGATCATGAAACATAAATCTCTGATATTTGGTTTTGCCCTGTCGTTAAGCTAGTGTGTGTCAAGGCATTTTAAGATATAAATCCTTACTTTCTTGCTGTATGTTCATGTAAGGGCACACTAAAGCATCTATGTAACAGAAAGCTAAGAGGTCCAGCATGAAACAGAAAAAAAGATTATGGTAACATGAAAGAAAAGGTTAGAAGCAAAATATCCCATATTTCAGAGACTCCTTCTAACCACTCCAGTTGCAAACTTCACAAGAAAGAGAAGTGATCAATCATAAGCAAAATGATGAGAGTCAGTCCAGGTAAAAGAGAAGGAACTGTGTGTGTGTGTGTGTGTGTGTGTGTGTGTGTGTGTGTGTGTGTGTATTTTGGACTGTTTTGTCTGATACCTTTGAAACAATTCACATACTTTCATTGGTCGGTAAGATTTTATCAGCCAGAGCTGTGGAGGAGAAGAAGGGTCATAGGAAAAGAAAGCAAGATACAAAAGCGAAGGCAAATAGGAGGGACCTTCAGACTTCCAAGCTGTTCAATTCAATGTCCAACCATAGGAAAAAAGCTGTGAGTGAGAGTATTCAGGTTTTAATTGCATAGAAATTTAATAAGAAGGCCCTGGTTCAGGAAGATAAGGGACTCCTATTGATACAGTAATAGAGGAAGTATGAACAGAAAGCAGAGTCTTGAAAAAAATCTGAATTGCAATTTTAGTCTAGTCATTTTTGATTCATGCATCATTACATTCAGAAATACAGACCTCACATATATGAAAGGTTGACTGTATCATAATTTAACATTTTCAGTATGGTCACCTATATTGTCTATCATATTTTACAATAAAAATAAGGCTTTAAGAAATAAGTATTTGCATGTATCAGCATATAAAAACAATATAAGAGTATGACATTTATCTTAGTCTGTTTAATGTATCGCCAATATACTTCATTACCAAACTTACGTTGTGTCAATCTTCCAGGAAGAAAAAGATATTTCACAGTGTAATCTACATGTCTTGTGAGTGGCATCATTTCATGTTTTAAGAGCAATTTCTGACACCGTTCATAACAATTCTCTTAGAACTGTTTTATATTAGGTAGATTGGTCTTTTCTTTGTGATCCAAGCTAACAATTTGGGACTGTGACAGTTTTTATTATTGCACTAACAAAGTATAAAATATTGGGCTGGGGATTTAGCTTAGCAGCATAAGCACCTGCTTTGCAAGCAAGTCGTGAGTTCGATCCCCAGTACCGACAAAAAAAAAAATTTAATGTTTTGCTAAGCTTTTAAAATAAATGGATGTTGAATTTTGTCAAATGCCTTTTTAAGCATTTAATGCTAAGCAATGACTATATGAATTTTCTCCTAAGATCTATTAATAGGGATGAATTATATTAATAGACTTCCCAGTATCACATCATCTTCCTATTCCAGGAATAAGTTCCATTAGGTCATGCAAGTGACTATTAGATTTATTTAGAACTTTAGATTGGTCCACAGTTTTTATTTCTTTTCTTTTCGGGAGGGCAATTTCTTTCCAGCTGTATTAGTATTATATACACATTACAAAGAATTTAGACACTTCTCTTTGCACAACTTTTCACTGAAGAGAAAGAAAAAGAGAATTAGAGCTATTAAAAAGAAAGTCTCATAGCTACCAGCTCAAAATAAAGGAGTCAAGATTTTAGTTTGGGATGGGGAAGACAGGAGATGTACAGAGAGGAGGGAGCTGGGAGAAAAAGCTTGAGGAAAGAGTAGGGACAGAGGGAGAGAAAAATTTACTTTGGAGGGAAAATATGAATTCTTTGTGGAAATTTCTGAGAAAAAAGATTCAAACAAATCCTTTCTGGTAAGGGCTACTTAACAGGCCTCTGATAAAACAGCTTTCTCTACCTTCTGCTCTGTTATTTTAGTGACCAAGAACATCAGATTATCTTAATTTTGATCATTTGATGACAGCTGACATCATCTCCGCTGGTGCCTTCTGGAGTGCGTGTCCCCTGCCCTGTTTCTTCCTTGTGATCACACAAGAATTATCCTGTCTCCCAGGTCTCACTGTCTAGATCACCCACTCGCTTCCTTAGTGGTTGAACATAGTGAATCAGATGAGTTATTACGACCTTTTTTGAGATTAAAGTAAAGAGAGTTTTTAATAATGCACTGTTTTTCTGCAGTTTAGAGGTGCAGCTATAGCGCTCGCCAATCTAATATGATCTAGGTGCTAGATTACATACCAAATTACATAGTAGGAACTATGGGTTAAGAACGGGATACGTGCATGTACCCAACACAGAAAGCTGTTCTCATATCTGGGAGGACGGATTACAGACATGTATTATAGACCAAAAATGCACCTCAACAGATTCTAGCATGATTTACCAATTTTGAAGTGATTTAAACAAACAAACAAACAAAAAATTTATGTAAGAAAAAGAAATAGTCTCCAGGTACTTCATGTTATTCAGGCTCTTCGTTTATTAACTGAACAAATCATTGTTCCTCTCTAGCATGAGCCAGGCTGTGTGTGTAAGATGAGGGAAAAGCCACATAAGCAGGGCCAGGCAGAACAGTCACAGATGCTATGGTTACTGAGCACTTTAAAACATGATTTCAGTTGCATTCAGTGTGGGAAATCAAAGGTGCTAGCTTTTAGCTTGGTAAATTTATTTATTTTCTACCAGAAAAATTTTTTGACATGAAGGACACCTATAAACAGCTGGTCACAGAATCTTAGGAAATACTTTGAGAAAGTAGGGACCAAATGGTTCAGGCAGATTCATTTTGAACTTGGCACAACTCATAGATATCAGATAAATTAATGGAAATTAATGGAAAATGAGATAAACCCACTTGTAAGGCCATGGGAGAGCACTGGTCTTAGAGCCAGTTTAGGTTCCAGCCCTCCCTGCCAAAGCTATAAATACAAATGACCAATTTAACAGCATGAAAAGACCACCTACAAGATCTATACCTGGGATCTAATCAGCTGCCATGCGCCTTCTTTCAATTATAGGATCCCTGCCACGTTTATGGGAACTTTTAATGTGAGCATCACATTTTTGAGGGCTATATCATTATGACCATGTTTGATCTGAGGGTGGGAAAGTATGAGCTTTTAAAAAAAAAGGTGCCTGTACAAGATTACTCTGAACTCAGTGGTAAATTGGAAGCAACAAGAGCCCTCTGTAGAAAAGAAGAAGGGAAAAAAGTAAAGGTTTAGATTCCATGGGGATTGCAGCCCTGAAAAGTCATACCATTATGACTTTCAGTTATGCTCAGGAAATGAAATTAGTTAAGTACAAATACAATTGACTTGTCAACACTAAGGATATTTTGAGAAGGAAAGTATAATAAAAGACAATAAGGACAAACACATCATCTCCTTTTGCATGTGACAACAGGATATGACTTACAAATGAAAAATTAAATCAACATGATTGTTAGCAGAACTGAATTACAGCATAAATAAAAATAATCTTAATTATGAATCAACTGACACAAAGCATATGACTTCTCAGGCATAAAGAATGCAATTGCTTAATACTTCATGAGAGAGACAATCCCTAATAAAAATACTGGTTTTCTTGCTAAATAATCTATATAAGCTCTACTGTAGAAGTATAGAAGCATCTTTGCTCAACACTTTGATTCCCTGTGCTCAGATCTGGTGACACTTCAGGGACTATTCTGCATCCTTTCAGTGGGCCATGTCATTGCTTCTATGACTTAAGCAGCAACTTCCAGTGTTTCGCCCAGCTCTGTCCCATGAGCACACCATATTGACCAAGTCTCTCACATGGATGTCAAAGATAACATACCTAAAGTTCAGCTGATTTTCTAGTCTTCCTCATCCATATAAATACAGTTATCCGAGAAAGAGAGACAGAAAGAGAGAGAGAGAGAGAGAGAGAGAGAGAGAGAGAGAGACTTTTCTCCAGTTTCACCTAATAAGTTATGATCCTCCTAACAGACTTTTAACTATGTCCCTTCCTTTTTTATTTTTCCTTACCATTGCTTTTGCTCAAGCTCCTTATCAATCTCTCACTCTTCCAACATTTTTAAATTGCTGTTAATTGTAATGCATTTCTTAACAGTGAAAAGCAAAGAGGGAAAAAAAACCAAAAGGGAAAATCCATACACCAAACACCCAACATGAACATGCTATTCCGGTACATACTATTTTTCAGTATCACCTGTTGTCTATAATGTAAAGTTCAGCTTCTTTGGCAAGTACCATTGTGCAATGCCTTCCCCCCTTGGTCTTGAGTTTTTTGTTGGCTGCACCAAGTCTTGCCATTCTGAGGTTGCAGTGCCTTCTTCTGCCTGGAATGTCACATGTCTGATGAAACTGCTCAGTCTCATTTCCGCATCTACACCCTAGACTGAGAGTAACGCTTACTCAGAGCAGAGCCAGAGGAGCAAATGCATGTGATTCACTAGCATAAGATGTAGCAGATAGAATCACTGAGGGCATGGATTTACTGTTGCCACTGCTGTCACTATCACCTGTGTTCTTTTTGATGTCTGCACAAAAATATTTCCTTGGTTGAATCTTTCCTGACTTAACCCATAAGTGTCAGGCATTCTTCTGCTCTGACCCTACATACCTAACTGTAGTTTTATATTATGCAGCTCCAAATTGATGGAACATTTACATTTACATTTCTGATGTTGGGATGCATCATATAATGCACATCATAGTTTAATTGACAGCAATCTCTTTCCTTAATAGTGTTGGCTATTAACGGTGTTTCTTATAATGAACGAGACATTAAATGCAATACTACACTTACCTATATGATAACCGCCATAAAAAATTCTCCTACCTTTCTGGAAGAACTCCTCTAGCTTGTTCTTGAAAGGCTGGAGATACTCCTTCGGGGACTCCCTGCACACCACCATCATCTGTTTCTCACTTGCTGTGAAGAGAAGTTCAGAATTAGACTCACTCGAGAACATGTATTTGCTGAGCTTGTGCTGTGGGACAAGCTGTGTTCTACATTTGGGTGTCAATGATGCAGGCTCCTTGTCACTCCTTGTTTATCTGAACTCAAGGGAAAAATAATTAGTTCATTCTAAATATAAATCTATCATTTTTAATTTTCCTCTTAGAGATGGCGAAACAACTATCTGGGACAGGTAAAATATTTTGCTTTGTAGTTCTCTCAAAATAAAGAGAAGCAAAAACTATTAAAGGACTAGTCTCAAAGCATTAAGGGCCCTGGTCCTTTCTCTAGTCATTCTCCAATACTAGAAATTTAAAAAGATTTTTCAAAAATTCACAGATATGCAAGTTACCCAGAACTATCAAATTAGAGATTCCTGAGGCTAACATACACACCACAGCATGAGAACTAAGAACATATCAGAAGGAAAAAGAGAATTTCTCATAAGTTGCTAGAGGTTTGGATTCTTCAAAGTTTGAAAACATCCAAATTCTAATAGTTCTATTTTTATAGAATAATTTTTCACAAACACAGATAATATGAGGCATGCTTACAATTTAGTAATAGGGTAAATGAAGACATGACAATAATTTCTTCAAAGTTATTTCTCTGTGCCCAAAGCAAAGCTGAAGGCAAAATTTGTTTCCATGAGTTCCAAAGTATATCTCCCACTCTTCCCTGCTTTAAAGGGGTTGATCACTACAGATCTTCATTGTTCTGGATGTGGTGATGGACTCCACGCTCATCAAACAGTTCAAGTTTTATGGGGCCATGTCATGTGGTGGTAAAGGTTTTATGCTTGCATCAATATCTATCTGGATTTATGTCGGGTGAGGCTTTTTGCTCTCATCTGCAAAATGGGACCACCCTCCACCCCAGGTATGATATGGCAATTAAATGAGGTAATGCATGTAAAATGGTTTGCAGAGTGCTTGGCATAGTGGGGAGGCTCATAAATATTACCTATTATTTTTATGATTTAGTGAAATTGGTTGGGAGAAATGTCAGCGCAGGAACAGCGAGAGACTCATGGCTGGGGATCATGTGCTACTGATGCTATGGGCTACATTTATGGGAATCTGTCATAACGCAAATCTCCTGTGCACAACACAAGAATAATGATTTTTATTCCTCTGCTGAAGTTCCATCATCTGTTGTGAGAATTTGCAGGTCAACCCCTAGAGAAAGATGGAGCAAAGTATGGCATTATTCCCCAGGCCTCTGAGCCTCCTGGTTTTGAAATTAGAAACTGAAGCCAGGACAAGTGACAGCAGCTCCACTGCTGTGCTCACAGGTCCTTTCTGCAGCTCTACAACCTGGGACTCCTATGTGGCCCTGGGAATTAAACTTCTCTACACAATCAAGGAGAGGGCTGCCCTCTGACTGTCCACACAGTCACAGGTTCCAGGGGCCAGGCAGCTCAGCCACCTCAATTTATTAACTTGGCTTATCTGCGTTGTTTTTTAAGCAGACGAATGGGAGACCTAAAGACTAATTAATGATGACACTGGAGACTGGCGGTGCAGAAAGGAGAGAGGTCACGGGCAAATACACAAATGCCGCCCATTGTCCAACCAGAAGACTCTTCTGCAATACTGCAAGACCACCAAAGTTGCCTCAGACACTGGTGCAGCCAGCGGTTCCACTGTCAAAAGTTGAAGCCTCTCTAGTTTCTCTTGCTTTTATTTTCTTCTTTGTAACACTTTTGACTATTAAAAAGTTACTCATTTCTAAAGTTAGCCATTAATAGGTAATCATGATGAGAAAACAAATTTAAAAAACCAGGTCACAATGAAATACTGGAGAGTAAATTGAGAGTCTCACCATTTAAAAGTTAAGTACTCATGAATCATTTTAGCCAAAGTAAAGCTATGGCCCAGAATGTTTTGCCATTTTAGACATCAGGTTAAAAAGCATAGGTGATTATCTACTTTTTCATTTTGATTCCTAACAGCAAAGTAATAAAATTTATTGAACCACTTTAAAAGTATGGGTGACAAGATATAGAGGCAGGACCTAAATATAATTAAGAAAAATCTAATAAATATTTAATTACTTATGAATTACTCTTAAAGATACATTTATTTATTCTTACTTTGCATGTACTTGCTCAGAAAGTTATTTAACAACGCTCAGACTCCAAGTTTTTGATACATAAAATCTTTTGAGAACCTAAACAAACATACAGAAAAAAAGCATTTTCTGTATTGAACAAAACAGGCTGATCTCTATCTATCTATCTATCTATCTATCTATCTATCTATCTATATTTTACATCTTCTGTGTCATGGTTTAAATGCAGAATGTTAAACAAAGGCCTCGTTTGTTCACAGAAAGAGATGGTTTGGGGATGTGACTGGATCCCGGGATGCTATAGTCAAATATGTGGGGCCTAGACGAAAGGGTGGGTCACGGGGGCATGGCCTGGAGGGGTTCATCCCTCCCCAGCTCTTCCCTTTGTTCTCTGCTTTCCTGGCTGCCGTGATATGAGCAGCTTCCCTCCATGCCCCTCCTAACTTGGTGTCAGTCTACTGTTCCCTGAGACCGCTAAAATCCATAAGCCAAAATAAACCTCTCCTCCTTCAAGCAGTAAATGTTGGGTATTGTGAGTCAGCAGAGAGAAAGCAAGTAAGACAAGCCATTTAAAACGCTCAGGTGGCAAGAAGCCTGGTTGTACAACATATTGTCCATGGTTCTAGTCTTTTAGTTTCAAGAAAGATTAGAGGATAACAGTCCCACAATTCCTTGAATAACTAACATCCAAGAAAGATAACTCACAGGTTGAATTAAAAAGGTCAAGGATAGTTTAAGAGGAGAAAATATTTTTCAAGAAAAAGGAAATAAGATGGGCCTGAATGTGCCATTTGGGATAAGATAAGTATATCTGGACCCCAAGGAGCTCCTCTTTCTATTTTGGGTCACTGGTGCCCTGTATCCACAGTATGCATAGCTCCAAGGGAGAGAATATCTGTAGGACAGAAAAGCTGCTTCATCTCAGCAGTCCCCCCCAAGTTACAGGTGAGCAATGAAGAGCATCAGAACCACCCTGATTAGGGAAAGGAGTCCAAAAGCTACCAAAGACATGGGAAGTTTGCAGTATTCTTCAGAGTGCTCTGATAAAATCTCTTTGTGAAGATGTTTAATCAGAGTGAAAAAAAGCCCTAAGCAAGCTTGAGGCTGAAAATCAAAGAGTATTATCTAGCACAAGTTAGGTCTGAAATATTAAGTAGATATTCACGTTGTGTGTAAAAAGCCTGCAACTCATGACACATGGCTAGGATAGAAACACACACCAAGGAGCTACTTACATAAAAGTGGTATTCAAAGACACAGCAAAAGGTGAATTTTCAGGGAGAAATTATAGTCATGCAAGACAAGGCTACAAGATGAACTCTGGAGTGTGCAAACACAGAGAAGAGGTCAGCAATGGTGGGGGGGGGATGAGCTAGTAAGAAGAAAAGACGGAATGCAGAATCACCTGATCTAAGAGGAAAATAGTGTGGCGAGGAAAATAAAAAGCAATCACCTCTCTGTAATGTTGGTGAAAGGCAAGGAAGATGGTGACAAAGAAGGGATCCTAGCAACACTGCGGTCACTGTAATTTCAAAGGCAGTTCCAGGGAAGCTGGGAATGCAGGGAGGAAGCCAAGCTGGAGCAGAGTGATGTGAGAGAAATGACCCTACAGCCACATGTTTTAAGAAGTTAAACTAGAGAAGGAACAGCAAAATGGGGAAACGTTTGGAGTCAGGCCTACAACATAGCTCTGCTCCTCCGTGTCAAGTACTAAAGATCAAAACATGGGTACTTCAACACTGAATTATTTCTTAATGTGCCTGAGATGTTTTAAATAAAGTTTTCTTTGGTAGACGTAGGACTCCTTAGAGAGTTCTCATCCATTCTTTAAGAAAAATTCACAGAATCTTCATCTCACACCGCAGTCATTCAGTGTAAGAAGACATGCCCTGGGCTACTCTGAACATGTGCAGAAGAGGTGGAGGCCACTAGAGAGCTGGTGCCTTTACCTCAGAGGAATGTTTTGAACAGAAACAACACCCACTGGAAGCTAGAGCCCAGGGGAATTCCATGACACTGATTCACTCCCAGGAAGGGGCTGCCCCAGGTCAAATGCACCTTAATGTCCCATGATTGTGAGTACTGTCCATGAAAAAATTTAAGTAGACCTGACAGGGCTAAGTGAGGACATGCGAGCAGGCTGTAGCACTTTTGGAAAGACTTGTAAAACTGGGCCATTGACTGTAGCCTTTGCACGGTATTGTCTAAAGCACTGTGCAAAGGGCCTTCCTATCAAACATCACAGCTGAGTCAGAATTTCCACTGCGATGATTATGTGGTTATGGGTGCAGCCTTTGTCTGTGAGACATTAGCATGAAAAATATTCATTAATCACATACCCATGACCGGGCCTAAGGAGAGATGGATTCAGCATGATTTGATTTATAGGGTGTTAAGTGATCCAGTCATTTATTAAAAAATATTCCTTCCAATAGTCCCCATGAAAATCACAACCATTAGAAGTTACCCTTTGAACTGAAAACAAATTTGAAAAGAAATGTGATCATGAAGAATACATTAAGGCTTTAGCATAAGTTTGTTTCTAAGACTGATTTAGAAAGTCAAGGTATTTCAAATAATGTATAGGAAAAGTGAGTTTTAATGGAAGAAAAAGACACAACTTCCAAGATTCTGATCTCTAGGCTGATTATGTCACTGGATGCCTCAGGCAAGCAGTCCAAGGATAAAGTTCTTGGGCATCTAAAGCAAAGGAAACTCATTTTGGGGGGAAAAAATGAAGGGTATTATAAGAGTAATACACACACACACACACACACACACACACACACAGAAACTTGAAAAACATATTTAAAATAGTAGGGAGGTCTCCTGGGCATGGTGGTTCATGTCAGTAATCCCAGAACTCTGGAGGCTGAGGCAGGAGGACTGGAGCAAGTTTG